TTGAACCAACCCCTAAAAGATTGAACTGTCCTTTGATACAGTAGAAAGCCATATTTTCTCTTTATTTTTGCTACCACAGGTGTCCTTTCTTTTTGCCAAAGCCTTCAAGCAATCATCGTCAACGTTCCCGGCTGGTGTGGACCTCCGAGATGCAAACCGGACGGAAGTTTTGAGGAAGTGCAGTGCTGTGCCAACACTGGGAAGTGTTACTGCGTGGACAAGGAGGGAAAAAAGATCGAAGGAACGGAAAAATCTGGACAACCAGATTGTGAATGTACGTTTCCATCATTTGCTGTTTTTTTAATTTTACAATGTGTTAATTGATGGGTCTGTGAATGAAAGGGTTAACGAGTAAGGGAATTAGTGAATAGATTGGTGTAAGCAAGCGTTCATGCTCGAATAATCAAATAATTTAAGAGATAGATTAATTTAGAAATAACTGAGTAACTGTAAATGAATGTCCAGCTGGTCCAAATTCGATCGAGAAGTCTGAGATTGATCGCTTTCTGTGGTCATATGGTTGTGGTGCCGAGCGAGACACTTTACCTCTCAGTGCCACAATCATTGCTGTGAGTTGCCTGCGATCAAGTTGACTTCACATCTAGTCGCTTCTTTCTCGGATGGAAACTGGAATTAGCACCGACACCTAAACTTGGAACTATGCACTGTGTTTCGGCTAATTTTTTTTGTAGTTGCATTTCCAATCGAATCTTTTCTTTTTTATCGTACTTTCAGCTGTCACATCGAAGTGTGAAAAGACAAGACTGGAGGCTTTAGCGAAAGGTCCTTTACTAGGACAGTTTATTCCACACTGCAAGGAAGATGGCTCATTTGAGCCAGCGCAATGTTGGGCCAGCACTGGATATTGTTGGTGTGTTGACGAGAATGGCGAGAAGAGGGACGGTACCACGGTGCGGTTCGAACAACCGAACTGTTGAAAAGTCAGGTATAAAGATATACGTTCTTTGGTACTGACTTCCTAGTTGAATTTAGTTTTTAAACTTGTTTGCATGATTAATAAATTTGGTATCGATGTGATATTAATTGATATTTTAATGTTAATTCGTAACAATCTTTGACCGCTTCCCATTAAATAAACGCCTCTCGTGTCGGTCAAATTTTGAATTCGCGCCAACTCTCCCCGTCCCATTCTTCTAGACGAGTGTTTGTGTTCGCCGAACTATTGAAGAGCGTGATTGTAGCATAGAATTTGCACGTTTATACCTTACTTGTTCAGCGTCATATTTTGCCTCTCACACTGAATTGACATTTTCTCAGCGACAATGAGCTCGCTACAAATAGTGTGGGCATCATACCTCTCGTGAAGCTCCGAATTTCGGCTCAGGCGTCTGTTTCGCTCTTGGGGCCCAATTTCACACTGTTTTTCAAAATAACAAACACTACATTAAACATTGCAAACAGATAGGGACATTCATGAGTTTTTTCTTGATTGCAGAGTTCAAGAGGAAGGCTTTCGCGGGAATGACTACCCAATTATTCAGATAATCTGTGCTGGGATAAAAATGAAACAAATAGTGCAATATTAGTTTCGTTGAAAACGAACGACATATTTGTAGAAATAAAATGACAATAGTACAGAATCCTTGCTTCATTACTTTGGATCTCGTTGTGGTAGAGAAACTTGTAGGGAGTGATATATTATTATGAATACTTTGTCTTTGTCCCCATTCGTGGGTTGGAAGGCTGAGGTGAGAACTTAACACAAAAGAGCATTCGACAATACGTTTTATGCCTCCTCTGTCTCCCTTTTCAAGTGTGCGTAATCTTGATGTCCTCTCTACTAGAGAGTGATAGATTTTATCTGGTGTTCTTATTCATGATACATAACAACAGCCGATCTCGGATCATGGGATCCATTTTTCATCAACGAAAGTGTCTTGAATGATTAGCTTCTGGTGCTAAGTACACGAAGGCTTGCCTTTGTTCACAGTTTGGGAGAGACCTTGAAAAGTTCCCTACCTCCTTTTTGCGCGAATTTTCTATAATACTTAAAGCGACAAGACAGTCAAAGTCCCTTGCTTCAGACAGCTTTTATTGGGCAATATTTCGGTCCACGTGAAGGAAACAGCGAAGCTATTATAAACAATTTTGATTTACGTACAACACACGTTACTTCGAGAGTCCCCTGATTGAAAAATTCCCTGTACATCTGGTCATATATTCCAGTTGGGAGCCGTGTGGGAGATTTATCATCATGAACCCCACCGTTTCACTCCCAAGATCAACCTATAAATTTTCTGCATTGTATATCAGACATCTTTCATGAGATTTTGGTGTAATAATCTTCCTTTCTGCCCCATTTTTGTTTTAAAATAAATATCGTAGGGAGAAGCTTCTTTTCGGTCACTGAGTAATAAAAGGGCGAACTGACCAGCTGCAACATCTAGACTGTTCTCTGTCACCGACGTCTTCCGTAATGACAGAAATATCGCAGATGTCTACGTTGCTCTTTACATTTTCGCAATCAGCTCGTCAATATTTCACTTACATAAGTAGATAACCACTTGAAAGTCCTTAGGCATGAGAGAAACTTTCTCTAATGACATGGTATTGACATCACGTACAACGATCTAACTTTATGATTGCTAAAATTTGTACAAATATCATCATCTGGAGATAATGGAGTAATCATGTGTTTATTTACAAATTTGCACAAGCATATGGTGCCAGTGATAATGCAGCGCTAATGTCCGCTCATTAATTTTGTGTTTTCACAGCAAGTACATATTTTTTAAACGGGGGTAACTAAAATTGCACTCTCTTCGTCAAGATTGTATTCTCGAGGGATTCCACCCGTTTCGAACTTCTTGTCACAAATGCCATTTTTCTTATCTCTTCTTAGCTTAACGACATTCTGCAACCTATTGGTAAACCGAGAAGAGATTTCCTTCAGCTCCAATCGGAAATCCTTAGACACTATTGAATAGATCAGCGGATCGGATGCTGAGTTAATTACAACACCAATAACACAGATGTTATAGATGAGCCAGAAGAATTTCTCGAAGAAGAATTCTTCCCAGAATAGCAGCAAAACTCGGAGAAAATTAAGTGGAAGCATCGAGATCGTGAATACTAGCACTATGGGTGTGAGAAGTTTCTTGGCCTTCGAATTCTGCCGCATTCTCTTTTCCTGCTCCGTAAAACGCATAGAAATACGAGGATCTCGGACGTTCTTCTCCCTTGAACGCCGTTTAATACTTGATCTATGGAAGTTGTTGCTTTGTTGTATCTGTCTGGTAATCTTAGCATAGGTAAAAACGATGATTGCCAGAGGCAGCAGGTACCAAAATATTGTCAAAGATATGATGTATACACTGTGCACTGCGTGAGACCAAACGACATCACAGTACGTCTCAGTAGCATTTTCCACAAAATTCATCACAAAAAGCAACGGGAAAGTCACAACGAGAAACGAAACGATCCAAATCACAACAATTCCCCATTTTAAAGGCTTTGTAGAGATATAGGTGCTGTTACGAAATCCGTTAGAGGTAGTGATTTTTCTGTAGCGTTCAATAGCTATAGCGGTAATGGACCAAACGGAGACTCCATGAAAGACTTCTGCTAAGGGATAAAAATATAAACATACCACTTTACCAAATGGCCAATGCAGTGGAAGCTGCTCTTTCACCACGGCAATAGGAAAACTGATAGCCAAGATCCCAATATCTGCCAAGGCCAGATTTCTAATGTAAAGTTTCAGCCCCGAGCGAAATTTTCGTTGTCTTGATATCACAAATGATACCGTTATGTTCCCAACAAGGCCCATGAAGGCTAACATCACCTCGAAAGTTAGGCGAGCGACCATAAGGACAAATGGCTCCTCGTAGTAAGCTTGGTTCATCGCAGGCGATATGTTGTCCTCCCCATCAGAATTATTATTTTGCACATTCATTACGGCTAGAAATCCTTACAAAACCGTCATAAACTCCTGCTAAAAAGATCTTTCAACCTTTGTTAGGTTGAGGTCAGTCGTCAATCAGTGCCTGGTCGTATCCACCATCAGCTTTATGTCAATTTTTTCTTGAAGTCGTTCTCTGTTATCAAGATTTTTCTATTGAATACATCTGGTTTCAAACTCTTTTAGTTTCCCCAGGCGGTCTGGCTCATGATGGATGCAAAGCATTTCAGATCAGGTTGATATACAACAAAAATATTTTATCGTGTCAATGAGCCGAATCGCGATTATGATGAAGCAACTACTATGTATATTTGATATCCACTTCAATCCGCTCAACTCGCAAATATTTGGTTAAATAAGCAACAGGAAATCAAATTAACGCAACTTTTCATGAACCCTCTCACTCTCAAAAGTGATCAAAAATGAATTTCTCCCAGATGAGGTATAAAAACGTTTTGATGCAGAGAGGGGACGGGACTGTGGATTCAACATCAAACTCACAGAGCTAAAATTAGAAGAAAAGAATCGCACATAGTGATTTGTTTTATAGATCTTAAGTGTTAAAGGGTCGAATACTATTCTTTCTCTGAAACATCTCAGCACCGGAATCTTAAAGCCTCGACTCAGCTATGATTGGCTAATCGCGCGCTCAGAACCGGTTACGCCTTTCTATACGAGACGGAGGACTGTGGTTTTGATTTTCTTTTTCCGCGCCATTCGCGGCAAAGAGGAAAATAGGGAACCCGCAGGAAAAGACCTCATGCATAGTTTTTTCCCATTCGGACCTCCAGCTTAGTAACAAGCAGTTTGTCATCGGCATCGGTTGGTACTCGCCTAAATGGGCTGTTGTTGTTGTCATAGCTGGCCAATCTCTATGTTTCGTTACATTTAGTGCTGTTTTTCACAGGGTTGCTTGACAGAGCGAACTAATGGTAGCCGTAAGCTGATAAGGTTACAGTTGTATAGAGTTTATTTATGAAAGCACATTGAGAATGGGCGGACAAGCCAGCGTACTTTACATGAAGTAAAAGACGGATTTGCCAAAGACCGCTTTATCGTTTTGAGTTCCACGTGACGATCTAAGATAATATTTATAAACATGGTGGTCGAGAGTAGTCAACCTTTTACAGCTTGAAACCATGGCTGATGACGGACTGCTTTTAAATCTTTGCTCTAATGGTGAAGGGGATAAAGAAATTTATCGGGAAAGTAAAGATAGAAAATCGAAGGTAAATTATCTTCCTAAATATATCCTTTAGAAAGCAAGGTTTTCTAGGTATCCATGCCCACGTGTACCAGCGTGCAAGTAGACCTTCTTTGGACATCGCGATCTTCTTTTGAATCAAACTTAATTCATCAGATTAGCCTGGTGTTTATCCATTCCTTTTCTTCCTAGTGGAAAGAAAGAAAGTTACAGAAAAGACAACAATATCTAAGGCCACATGTGAGGGGAACCTTTCACAAGAATGCAGCTTCTGTATCTGCTAAGCCATTACGACACCCTCAGAGGAGATCTACACCTTTTCCAAATAAGCCCATCCAAGGATCTGAGGAGGAAAAAAGAACTTCAGCAAATGTACGTCTCTTTCATTCATGCGGCAAAATCTTGTTACTGCTATCACAACCCTCTAATGGATGAGCAATGAGGTTTTTCGAATAGGGTTTAACAGCACAGCAGAGTTTATGTCAGTGTGTGGTTCCAGGGAAATAGATTTGGTGTATTGAAATGAATAATGATGAGAATATAGGCCTAGTAACGCTACAGTTTTTACTAAAAGTCTGGTGGTCTGCCTCTAAATCTATGCTTACTTTATCTCAGCTAGCTACAAAAGGCTACCAATAATACGCAAGAGAAGGTGCAGTGTATGTGAGAAATCTATTTTCAGTTATATATTTTGTTTTCAAGGTTTCAAAATAGTTAAAAAATCATGGTTAGTCCAAGTAACCATTATTGTGCCCACTGATTGTTAATTTCTTTGATCCTTAGATCCGATCTTTTGCAACTCAAAATGGCATCCTTCCTCGAAGACAATCAAAGAAGAAATTTCAGGTAATTATAGAAGTAACTGTCAATTTTGAAATGCAGTTAGCTCAGTACATGCATTCAATTTTAATAGACTTATTTTTTGTTTCAGGAATAGCAAACCAAACCATTTCTGAGATTTACTTTTTTTCAATATATATAACAGGTCATTTCAAGTTTGTTTAACTACAATCCAGAAATACCCACATTACTGGCAAGGTTGGTTTTAATTGCAGTTTTGGCTAATCCTCCTATAGGTATAAGTACAAGTTTGGTGGACACCTATCATTAATGGCCCTGGTTTACATCACACCTCTTAAAATAAGTTCTCTCATCTCAGTGGTAAAGTGAATACATTTCAAACACAAAATGAGATGTTCCAAAGCTTAATTTTATTGGGGATGACAAAATTTTCTGTCACTGTGTACCATGCTCTTGACTATCTTTTGAGAAAGTTTGTTTATATGAAGTACTTGGATAAGCAGGCCAACTAAGTACCTTCTGTATATTTTGTATGTCTGTTCAGGCTGTGTTTGTTTGACATACATGAAGTTGTATAATGGCATGAAGCACAATTATAATTGACCCATAGTTTTATTGTTGTAGTAATGAATCATCCAGTGCAGATGGGACATCATGTGAAAATGTTTTTTCTGCTGAAAAATTTAGTGACTTAGATGTTTCTCCTTTCATGGTAAGACATGCATAATTATTTGATATGTAATATTATTACTAACTTTTAGTTATTTTAAAAGATATCATGATGTAAATGATGAAACATTGCTCAGTTGTTGGTAAACTAATTACAAACATTTTTGAAAGGGGGCCAGGAAACAAAAGACAAGCCATGATTAAAAACACACTTTGAACAGAACTTGATTTCTCTGAAACTGGCTGGTTCTTATAGTTTTATTAGGTGTACTTAATTCCCTTTACAGAATTGTTTGTGGTTAGTTCTTGGGTGTGGGGGAATGTCAAAATTTTCATCTTATGGTTAATTGTGTTTTGCTTTCTATTTATAGATTTCCAATCTTGAAAATAATTTGAAACTCACCACCATGACAAGGTACAGAATATTAAGATATTTCACATTCAGGTTTATTTTGCTCTGAGGTATTTGTAATAGCATCAAAATATGAATGTTTGTTTGAAATGTATGCTGAACTATTATAAACAGTGTGGTCAAAACTAAATTTTCATGAGAATTTTTCATATGTTCAAGGAAAGTTAACCTTTTAAATGTAATTATTTTCTTGCTTTAAGTGTTCAAAAAGCTGCCATTCCCCTGTTAATCGAAGGAAGGGATGTTTTTGTGAAATCGAAAACAGGAACAGGTAAGGTCTTGTAAATGTGCCAAATTGTTCTTGAAAAGTACCCTTTTTCAACTCAGAAGCAGGTATCATGTATATTTGATAGATGAACTTTAAATTGGATATTTTTTTATAAATTTAAGGGGGGTCCATCTCATCATTGCCCCCATTTCTGATAAAATGATTAATGCTGTCTCAAATCAGCAGCCAATGACCTATATTTTGTAATAGTAATATTGAATTAACTTATATGTTACTGTTATTTTTAGGAAAAACTCTCACTTATGCAGTGCCTGTGATACACTCACTACAGAGTATCACTCCAAAAATTTCTGTAAGTGACTAATGAAAATATTGTAGTTCAATAAATGCAAACTGCTGTCTTCTCAGTGCAAATTAGATTGTTATTTTTATAAAGTCATTTGCATTGGTTTGATTTACCTTTTAATGAAGATCTCTCCTTGCACAGTCTCAGTTTTTTGTCGTTCTTTAGAGAAGTGATGGTCCTTATGCAGTGATCTTGGTCCCCACAAGAGAGGTAGTCATTGCACATATCATAGGAATTAATTTTTTTGTAGACAGATGCATACATTTTCATACATTATTAATAATTATTATTTACTGTTATACATAATATGAAAATCAATTGTAATTGTAATGGTGAGGGCCATTTAGTAATTGAATTATAATTATTAATTATTTTGATTTCGTTATAGGCATGCCAACCTTATGATTTCTTAATTTTTCTTGTTACTGTAGCTTGCCATACAAAGCTTCAATGTGCTGCAGAGACTTGTAAAGGTATGTCTCATACTTGCACAAGGGCACACTATGTTTTCTTACTTGCATTGTGTAATATGCAGTTTTCTTTTGCTTGTGTTAAAAAAATTGTATTCGTTTTATTCAATATTGTTTTTTTTTTGTTAAAACGAGTTTGTGTAAAATGACAGTATTGCTTTACTTGCCTGCAGCTTCTTCTTTGCAACAGGGTCTCATAACTTCGTAGTTCATTCTTTAGTATGCTTTAGTATACTTTAGTATGCAATAACCAGGTTGTCAATAAAAGCCAGTTTATAACAGTCTATTGCTGCCTATAGGACCTCTTACAGCCATCTGTTTAGCCTGCTCTTGTGTTTCCCCTCACAGCCCCTTTTGTGGGCACAGTGGCATATTTCATCATCGTGAGCTGCATGGATAAAGTAACTGAAAGCCCTGCTATAAGTATTCTTATTGCCATCGAGAGCCCTTTAACTCAAACATCATTGTTTTCTTTTATAGCCATTTCAGTGGGTTGTGCCAGGAGTAGTCACTGGAGGAGAAAAACGAAAATCGGAGAAAGCCAGGTAGATATGTAATGAGTGTTTTTTTTCTCACTCTTTCCCAGTCGGGTTACATTTCGTAAACATGGAAGTTAATGAGCATCAAAAAGAATCCTCTTGACTTGAGTATCATGGGTCTTTATTCTCAGATTAAGAAAAGGTGTTAATGTTCTTGTCGCAACTCCGGGAAGACTACTGGATCATATTGAAGTAAGTTGCTTGACACACATTTACTCTGATCTCTAAAGTTCTCCAAGCTGAAAGCTATCTAGCAGTATTGTAAAATCCCAGTCATATGCCTGTTATGTGTAAACCTATTAACGTATTGTCCGAGTAGACCTTCGGACTATTTTTCAATGCAACTGAGGTCCAAGAGATTTCCCTTCCTATGTTAATGCACTCGAATTTCCGAAAATTTTCCTGCGTACATGGCAAACGCTGTAGATAACTTTCTGACGCTTTTGAGGCTTCCGAAGATGTTCCGAAAATTTCTTTAAAACGCTGATATGAATTGTAGCTAAATTACTCGCTAGCCGTTAAATGGAAGTTAGAACTAAAATTTCACTCTCGTCGCGATTGTCTAAATCTGGTTGCAGCTGCTTAAAACAAGCGTCTTTTTAGTTCTGAGCGACTGAGAGTTGTTCACAAAACAACCTTAGGAAATAGAGGAGATTATGGTGATATCACTTAGTCAGATGCTTGACCTCATGTCACCTTGTTTTTTTTTCTTTTAGAAAACCAAAAGTTTGGAGTTGAAGAGACTTCGGTGGATCATCCTCGATGAAGCCGACAGGTACAGACCTATTCTTTGTCCGAAAATCCACTCATGTTCCAGGTTCTTTTCTTCTCCCATGGCAGATTTCGGCGTTAACCCGCATCGTAAGCGCTGCTTCCGAGAAAAGATGTTTTTCATCAAGCAAATTCAAACCAGTTTGAAGACATTTCGTGAGAACAAATTCATCTCTAGGACGAAGACGTAAACACAAATTGTCTGTGTTACAAGAAGCAAGTTATCATTGCAACAATTGGCGTGCTCTGGCCCAAGATTGCTATTTATCAGGACTAATTGATATTTCTATTTGTTGTAGGTTGTTAGACCTCGGTTTTGAAAAGGACGTGTCATCCATTCTGACTGCTGTTAAGGATTCTCTACTTAGCGGTGTAAGATGTCAGACTGTTCTGCTTTCCGCAACACTCAATGAAGGTGTGTTTTTCTCACAAAAATGTCTTCTTTTGTTGTAACACACTTGAGCGAGTTGATGTGAAACTAATCATAGGAACGGAATCTGTCACAAAAACCATCGAGAACTCAAACCATTCAAAGCGCGAGTAAACGAACGTGACCCACTCGCAATTGGTTTCAGCTGAAGTTGTATCTGATTGGTTTAGAAGGTAGCAGAAGTTCTCTGGATTAATCCTGAGCGAAGTAGACAAAAACCAACTCAATCTCAGATTACCCACACACTCTTTTAAAAAGTACATTGAATTTAACTTTCCCCCCTACAGGAGTTGAAAGACTGGCGGGAATTAGCCTTTACAATCCTCTATCTATTGATGTTACGACAGAGGATGGAGGCGGCGAAAACAAAGAGGCAAGTAACGCACAGGTAAGGGCTCGTTGGTGAAACTGCCTCGTAAAGTGTACGAAATTTCCTTATATGACAGTTTTTTAACTTCCTTTCGCCTTCCTCTCTTACACGCGCGACATTTACTTACAACACACATGTATATGCCATTAAGGAAAAAATCGCTGTAGGCCTTTGCCTAGATGTTGCTGTACACGCCAGCAGTTCGGTAGTGTTGATTATTCTACGCGCGGCGTGATTTGTTCTTGCATTCTCTGCAGGCCATCAGCCTTCATTAAATTTTTGAGAATAAAATATCTTTGGGAGAATTATTTCAACTGCATTTTTTTCCTCTTCAGAGCTCAAGTGATGTCAGTTTTACAACTCCTCAACAATTGAAACAATTCTTCATTATCGTTCCCAGCAAACTGCGCTTAGTGACATTAGCAGCGTTTTTGCTGTGGAAAAACCAGCAAGAGGTATTGATTGACTTTTGTACAGTTGCCATTGTGAAATTTCTCTGTAAAGTAATGTAACTCAGAGTATTACGATCAACCTCGTCGCCACCCCGCGTCTTTGTTCTTCCCATCATGAACTAGGTTTGTTGTGACGTACGCACATATCCATATTTAACTGTGTAAGTAACGTACACATGCTGCCTCTTTTCCATCCTTGAACTTGCCTTTCCTTTTTGTAGGAATCAACTGCCACGAAGATGATTGTTTTTATGTCAAGCCGGGACTCAGTGGATTTTCACTGCGACCTTTTTGAGAAGTCTTTTTCTTCTGTGGCCAGTGAGTAATTTGGTTATTTTGTTTCCCTTTTTGACCCAGCAGGGTTAATGCACTACTCTTAAACCTTTCGTTTTCTTTTTTGCTGCAAGTAGACGACATTTATATTGTCTGACATTGACATGAGCATCTTTTGATTTTGCTTGCTTTTATTTTTTATTAGAGTTACGCCTTGTATTCTTTAAACTTCATGGAAGCATGTCTCAGTCGGTAAGAGAAAGCAGAGACTTTGAGTTCATTATTTGAGAAGTCATTCATTAATTTTTTTCCTTTTTGTCTATTCTTGGGCGGATCCAGCCCGAGGCCAAATTATTCAAGTTGGCCAATCAGAATAGATTTAACGGAATCTCAAATTTCCTGAACCTTAAAGTAAACAGTATTTTGCCGTTTGGTTTTTCGCAGGAAAGGACTTCCGTGTTCAAAAGTTTCAGTGGCGCAACAAGAGGGATTCTGTTTTGTACAGTAGGTTGACTATTTGTTGCTTGATTTCTAGTCTTTTTTAACCGGAAACATTATGTAGTAAAGTTAAGTAAAACTTAACTTAGGCCGGGCAGCTCATTGAGCTCGACGGCTGGTATCCTCAGGGGCCTGTATCAATAGAAATAGTTTTAATGTGTACCACAACTACGCCTGTTGAGGTGTAGTGATTGAAAGGAAACTTTAGCAAACTGAAATTTCCTGTAAGTATGTTTAGACGCAAGATGGGAAATTGGATCAGTCGAGTCGGAGCTGGAACTGAGACTGAAAAAAGATGATTATGTTTTCCTTATTTTAGTTCAAAGAGGAGCAAACGAGCCTTTTTCTTGCTCACTTCATGCTTTATAACCAAGTTAACTTATGTTTTGTATATTAGGATGTGGCAGCAAGAGGATTGGATTTGCCTCATGTCAATTGGATACTTCAGGTATAAATACAAATAGGATCTTTCCCGTTGTTGTTTTTATTTTAGCCGCGCATGCGTTCCGTATCAAGAAAAGCGGATCAACTTAAAGTTAAGCAGGCTTTGTTTAACGATTAAAAATGACCATATATGGCTGCTTTGTCACGCATGTCACAATTTCTTGAGGAGACAAAGGAATTGGCCATGAAAGTATGAGTGTAATTGCAATGCACTTTCTCTCAATTTCGCAGCTCAACACTTTCAAATTAATGGATTGAATTTATCTTTTATGCTGTTTCTGGGCTAAGTAAGCCTCTTTTATTATTTTTGGATCACTGTCTGACTGGTTTGATTAATTATGTTTCTAGTACAATACTCCAGGGAACCCAGCAGACTACGTGCACAGGGTTGGTCGAACGGCAAGAATCGGACTGAAAGGGAATGCCCTCCTTTTTTTAACTCCCGCAGAGGTAAGTTTTACTTTTTATTTTGAGCTGATGAAATTATCATGTAGAAGGAAGTGTGTGTAGAATAAGTAACATTAAACGAAGACACTCAGTTGAGTCAGTTCTTAACGTTTCTCCATTAAAGCATCCTTAACGAAAAGGCTTGGAGTATGTTTTCCCCTTTCGCTCCCCCATCTGAAGCTGCAAGTTTCTTATAATTTTTGTTAAATCCGTTCGTCTCCGACCACGCGTTCTATCTTGATGTACACTCCTATGTAAACGAAGGCAATACAATCTTAGTCAACCAACATTTCATTCTAGGTCGAGTACTTGGACATTTTGAAACAGCATGGAATCAGGTTTGTATAAAGGGTAGCTATCAGCGATTGTAATGGTTTTGCTTTACTTCGCTCGGCGATTGGTCCTGAAAACTCGACCCTCTTAACCAATCAGGTGCTATAATAAAAGCAATTGCGATTTGGCTAGTCGGGTTCTCCCGCGCAGTTTGCTAGTTTTAAGTCTGTGTTCTCATTGGCTTCTTTTGATTTCATCCTTCGCTCTGATTGGCTTGTCTAATTTGTCTGGTGTTGGCTTTATTGCTCTTAATTGAGAAGTGCTCTTTTTTTATAACTAAGTAACACTGTCTCCACACGATAGAATAGTGCATAGAAGCTCCTTCCGTGCTGAAAAACGAGAATGTTAATGTATGAGACTTGTTTGCCATCTGGGTGAATCATTGCAACATTCAAGCGACACAGAAAAATCATGGTTAATTTTTAAGCTTCCCCAACTCCGACGTAAAAGTTACAAATACTTCAGTAGGAAATAATTCGTAAAGCAACATTAGTAAATTAATGCATAAACAAGAAATTTAATTGAAAAAGTAATATACAGCTAATTTGTTTTATTTTTTGCGTACTTTGTAGTCCAGAAGAACTGCTCGTTAACGACGTCCTTAAAACGCTCGCAGTATCCTCAGGAGACGCGAAGCTGAAGACAGCGAAGGTAAGTACTATAAAACCACAGGACTCTTGTTGGTGTCTGTGACGTCAAAATTTAGATAATTGCAAAACGCTATTTTACTTTTAAAGCCGCAAACGGAACATTGAGGGTGATCAAACATTTTTAAATCTGGTCGTTCCGGGTTGATAGTATGATTAACTAACGGAGTAAATGTATTACAAAAAATAAAACAAACATCAACAACAAAAAATCAAACAAGATGAAGAAAAAACCTTGGACTGAAATTGCATGTGCTACTGAAATCAAATTATTCATCAAGCTGTCCCATAAAAGTTTAATGTTGGTATCCGTGTCTATTCAATGGAGTTTTTCGTCATGAAAAGTCCATTTTACAGTAAATGTGAAGGGGAGAAGAAATGTGGTACTTGGGCTGGTGTCTGCTTATCATTGGATTCGCTGATTTGAGGTTTCAATGTATTTTGTGAATCTTCTGAGCCTTTTTCCCTTTTGGTAGCTTAACAGCAACCAATGGATTTTTTGATTATTAATTTCCTTATCTATTCTTAATTATTATTTTTTTACTTCAGTATGTTGATCAAAAAGCTCAGGAATCAGCTACTGAATTACAGAATTCATTCGAGGACTATGTTCTTTCGAATGATCTCTGTTTGAAAGCTGCCAAGACAGGTAATATTTTGTGTTTCATACTCGGATCTTCCTCAAATCTAACTATGTCCTATGTTACTGAAATTGCACCATGAAAGACAAAAATTTCAAATCGCATCATATTACTGCTACCTCAAATATATACTTCTTACACGAGTATAAAGAGTTAGCACGCGGAGACGTTGCGGAATGTGTGTATGTTCGCCATCCCAAGAGTTTCCTGTGTTCATATCGGAAAACCGCTAATCTTGGACATTTGCTTAAGTTAATGTGAGCATATCGTTCCAATGGTGTGCGCATTTGTAAAGAACCTTACACAGTTAGGATTGGCTATCCGACCATGCTTTTAGTTATCGAGCCTGTTCAAGGTGTTCCGTTAGTTAACGGGGCGCGATGGAAGCTCAGAGCGAACAAAGAAGGAAGATTTGGGACAGGTTGTGTGAGGAACCGCCTGATATTTCGCTGTGCGCTGTCCCCGCGCCCCGTGAACTCATTGAGCGCCGAGAACATTCAATCGTATGTCAAACTGATCATTAAGTATTTCCTCTGTGTTGCAGCATACCAGTCTTTTGTCAGAGCCTATGCTACATACCCCAGCAATCTAAAACACATCTTTCATGTGAAGAATCTTCACCTGGGACATGTCGCGAAAAGTTTTGGCCTCAGAGAGGCACCAAAAGAATTGTTTCAATCCAAGAAGCAACCTAGAGCACAAAAGCGGAAAAGGTTTGAGACTCTCTTTTTTGTTCGTTTCTTTCGTAGCCTTTCTGTAGGTTGTCACGCAACGCTTTGAGTTCCCCTCATGCCTCAAAACGAAAGTGTGGGGTGGGGTAAGTTACATCTCAGATAATGGCTGCGAGAGATTCTATTGTTTTTTATTCCCAACTCGCAGTTTGAATTCAGTGAAGATAAGTGTATAAAGTAATCTGCTTCCTTCCAACTCTCCAGTAACTAATACTGCCTTCAAACTACAACATATTTCCTTGAATTTCTCTCAAGATAGTTGGGCGTCCACAAAACATCCTTAGGAAAAGAGCAGTTTTCTCTGTTCACAGCACCTGTTTTCTTGATACTGTTCTGTTTTGTCAGAAGAAGTTCTACACAGAATAAGACGGAGGGTAATTAGAAATAGAGAAACGTGTTTTTTTTTTTTGTTCCTTTCAATTAACCCTCAAATTCCTCTCGGTGATTCACCGGTAACTTTTGAAAAAAGGCAATCAAACAAAAGAAACGAACAATCGCATACGCATGTGATCAATGACCTGGGTGAACGAACGAATCAATTGAGGGGTTTGCCTTGGTATATGTTAAGTAACTTGATGGGAAAGGAAAGAAAGATATTAGGGAGAGTGGCTCGTGAAAGGGTTTGCATTGCAAATGACAGCTACGTGAAATAGGGTTTTCAGTCTACTCAAAATCCTACCAAACTAGTTTATACATTTGTTCAATTGTCAGTTGTCTCCTGCGCTGAACTATTCTGAACCTTTCTCCCGTAGGGGTGGGGAGAAGAAATCGGTGAAGGCGAAGAAGAGGATAACAGAGTATTCATCAGATACGGAACTAAATGGACCTTTAACAAAGAAACGAAAGAAGACGAAGAACAAATCGTAGTGAACTGTAATTTATTTCGTTTTGTTATCTCTTTGTTTACTGCGCTGAAAATTTACTAACGAAAGGAAGCGAATATGGATATGAATAACACAATGTTGTCAATGGCAATAAAATTTAATAAAACATGGTATATTTTTTAATAGCTTCGTTCGTAATCTATCTTAGCTTTTACTATAACGCAAACCTTCAGTTACCTCGTCACGCAATGTTTATATTTCGAAAGGGGAAAGATTTCATGGCATGACAATTGCTATAATTTATTCCTCAAATTTCAAGTTACAAACTACAACGATGTTTGTTCGCTGGGCACCAGAGCTGGTCAAACACTGATCATCGTTAAAAACAACAGTGACAATAACAGAAATTATTTTACATTTGCTAACTTTATGCCATGCACGTGGTAGCTTTGATAGAAACTCGAGAGATGCAAATATAAAGTTTAAAAAATATATTGTAACATAACTGAGGTAATTACATGATATTCAAACAATACGGCCACTATCGAAATTTATGTTTTTTTTATAACTCGACTAACTTGAGGTATAAGCTGCGGAGATTTTTGAGAAGCCAGAGTCAGACTGAAGTTCTTTGCCCCCTCATTAGCAGTATCTTTCTTCTCAGTGTATAGTTTCAGTGGTAGAAAAGAAAAAAGTGGTCTTCGACCGACTGGTAATGGCCACATGTGTCAAAATGAGCTTCACTGACTTCGGGTTGCTGTTCTCTTCTCAAGGAAGACCCATATTATTCACGACACGAGACGATAAGCCTTAAACCGCGAGGAACATGAGAAGGAGACATACCCACCCCTCCCAGTCACAAGTTTGATACATCAAAACCTATCTAGCTCGATTATTTCATCCAGCGAAGTCGCTCATCAACACAACTAATGGGTAAAACTAACCGTATAGCCACTACATGTAATTCGGTTAGGCAAAATAGAATGACTAGAATGATTTCGAACCTCGTTCCTATGATTCCCAACCGCTTAGAATTGAGGCTCCTCAAGCACAACTACGGTGAAGAAAATTAAAACTCTGCGTGTTTTAGAGCCATAAAATAAATAAGAAAAAAAAGACTTTTTCCGAGATCAATACTTTGCAAACTGTGTACACAGATAAATTAATAATCCCAAACCTTAAAAAAAAAAGTTGGATAACTTCTGTTTTAAAACGCTTCGCTGTCTCGCTCCATACGTTACTCTTTAGTCCAGCACGCTATCTAGCATTCCCTTGGGTGCGAGGTAACGCACAGGTTCAGTAAAAACAAATAAATGTTCGTACTTTGGGTTTAGTGGCGTCGTTCTAACTCATAGACAAGTCAACAAAATTATAGAACGCATCGATGTCATGTAATGCTTTCTCAGGAGTTGATGAGAAGTATATACTTCCAAGTGAGCGATCACATATCTGATTAAGCGCATCCTCAGTATTTTGTACACAGTCCTTTCCATTGAACTCCAATCCGATAACTGGACCTAGAAAAGAAATCACAGAATAGTCGTCAGTCATCTTTGAAAAAAAATAAAGCAATTTTCTTTAAATAAAAAGTAGGGTATTTCATTCAGTAGAGTTTATACGCTCTCTAGATAATCTTAATGACCTTGCCACATGAGCATCCGCCGGTGGTAGGTCTGCGAGAGGTCTGGTGCAGACCCCTCGTAAACGCCGAGAAGCCCGCGAGCCTCCTCGCCGGCTACCTGTAGATTGGCTGGGTCATGCCATTATAAGCCATTTCAAGAGGCGGGAAATGCGTGCATGGAAAGTAACGGATGGGCAAACGAAGACGAGATAACCAACTGTAATTCCGTAATTTCCTATCAGAGGGTCTTTATTGACGCTTGAAAACACGCCTGATCTTGTCATCTATGATACTCTTACAAACAAATTTTAATTATTTAACAAGGCTTCTGACTAAGCTCGACGAAAAAAAAAAAAGTTGCTATTATCCAAATTTAGGACCATTATGTTCTCTGCTTAGGAATTACTACCCTGAAACTAAATTTTAACAGTTGACAAACTTCTATCCCCTGAGGAGAGAAGTTTGAGTTCCCTTAAAGACCAAACTCAACAACCCTGCCTATGAAAATTAAAATTCCAGTTTTACAAAGTACACAAACCACTATCTGCAGCAGCCCTATATTCTTCTGATTGAAATATTCTGGCTACGTCGTCTGGTTTCATACTAACTTCCTTGGTTTGGACAAGCACTTGATTTCTCTACAAACAAAACGTGATTTAAATTAAATGCTTGACAATATCACAGTAAAAGTAGGTAGCTGTTGGAAAAAGAAACAGTGGACTTAAAGTTAGTCCACTGGAATTCGCATCAAAAGGTGCACGTTTGAGATCTGCATGGGTCAGTCTGTGTTTGAATTAGACATTGGAGACTTTCTTCTAAAGAAAACCTTGATGTGCTCTAGTGCTTTGAGCCACTTAGCTTTTATTAGTGCAGACTCTTCTTCACCTTACATGTGGGTAGCATTTTTGGCATTCATTAGTAGATGCAATGTGTATTATGCTGCATTGTTGGCGTGGTTTTTCAGTTTTTGGAGTGAACACATAGCACAAAATTAGCATGCGCAAAAAGTGTCCATACTTTCAATAAAGAGGAGAACATACCTCACGCCTTTGATCAGAAATCAATCGTCTGACATGTGATTTCATTTCAGGATATTGGAAAAAAACCACAAGACATGACTGAAAATAACAAACACATTTAGATATAATGATCAGATGTTGCACCAGTGTAAATGATGTGACAGTCATAGTGGTATGTAGCAAGTCAGATTACTAAGATTTGATCTTTGCAGATCAAACACAGAATTATATACTATTAACCTGCACACCCAGTCATTTATGGCATATAGCCCACAATTAGACATGTGGTCCATGTATGTTACGACAAATGAAGTAAAAACAGTTCTAAAATGCTTGGACCAGCAAGATGTCTTGAAATGAGATCAACTACTTTTAAAGAGTATTTGCTTGTCAAGCCTCTTTTGCCAAGTGTAAGCCCTTCCACACATTCAAAAGGTCATTTGAATAACATTTGTCATTTTCTATAAACTTGAAATCACTAGCAGTGATAAAATTTCCAATAATAACCCACCATCCCCTTTCTCACTCCTGTCAACATACTACACGTACAGGTGAACACTGTGTATTAGGAAGTGTTTGGTTGGATAACCCACTAAATCTTTTATTTACCTCATCATATGGCTTTCGTCTTGATCCAAGTGTAAGTGGAACAACACTCATAGAGGCATCACTTGATATATTCCTATCTCTGTATTGTTCTGGCGTTGGTAGAAGAGTTTCAATATTTGTTGCATCCTCCTATAGAGGAAAGATAAAACTTTTAACTCTCCAAACTGATGATACTAGCTATTATTTTACTTCTTATCGATTAATGATTTTTTTGAAATTTTTCTCTAATATGAATCCACAAAAAAAAACAAAAGGATCTGGCTCAACATTAGAGGGACATTGTGATTTACAGTGTAATGTCCAAAATCTTCACTGTCGACAGGAATGACTAATTTGGTAAAACACTATAAGTGTACATTGCCTGGTAACCATGACTTTAAAGGGAATTTAAAAAAGATGCATTTTGTAAAATAAATTAGAAGTTTCCCCAATCTTATTGTTGCTGTTATTTTATTATTACCTCTGGAATTAAGCCCCAAGTTGTTTCTCCCGCAGCTGGTGTGAAGTCATGAATGTTGCTCCAGTTGTTATTGTATAAACTTAGTTTTGCTGCCTCAAACTGGCCTGAAAATTTTTGATATTGTATCAGTTGCAGCTATACTGAAGTCATTCAACTACATGCAGCATGTTCCAGGCTTTAATTTCCATGTTGTATACAGCTGCATCACATATCGCAATGGTGGGAATCAAAAGGAAAGAGGATATGGGGGTTGGACGGAAGTCCTGGTAATAATTAATAACTCTCTTTCCATGGACCTGAGCCCTTCTGAGCAGGTTAAGTCTGATGATGGAGTTGGAGTTGACAGATGATGGTGTTGAAGTTGGAGGTGTAAAATGCAGTGATAATGTTTCCATTTTCACTTTATTCCACTTGAATCTAGAGATTGTGATCAAAACTATATGATTGGCAAGCAAAAGTGAAAAAACCAACCCATCACAAAGCCAATTCCCAGGTCCTCCCACTTGCTTCTGATGACCAACAATCTAGTGTTAGCAAAATTGTAAGTGACAAAGTTATAAGGGCATTGGTGTGCTGATGGCATTTTAATCCCTTCAGGGGTAAACAAGGGTTTTTCTTTGTCAGAAAAAGAAGTTTGCTAAGCTTTTCTCACTGACCTTCTAACTCAGGATAATAATACTGATAACAGCCAAACTTCATTCCTTTTGAGGATTCTATCACAGGTTGTGTACCACAACATAAAAAGAAGTCCATTTTCTTGCAATCTCGAGTTCTAAAGTATAAAACATGCGTCAAATTTTAATTCCTATAAAATAACCAGTGCATTAAAACATTCAATTAAATTAGATTAATTTTAGACTTACCGAAACTGTTGACAAGCCACCAAAACCTTACAGTCTTGACAATCTCGAAAATATACACTAAAAATAAATAAAAAACCAGTTAAATTAAGTAAATTAAATATTAAATGATCAATGTAGCATTAACACATAACATCTTGTACATGGAAGTTTATTAAATCTAGCTGCACACCCTTTTTTTTTCAAATTCACTTTAACCTTAAATAACGAGATCAAAAGGAAAACAAAAATTAAATTGAAATCATTGATGGCAACTTTTGCCTATTTTTCTGAAAATGCCTCCTTTTAGAAAGTGGTAAACAAATGTCATAGTTAATCCTGCTTTAACTACAAAGAGTAACCTAGATTATCCTGACCTCCCAGCACATGGCCCAATCACGATCTGGCAATTTATACAGTCATCAATTGTTATGGTTTCTGCGTGATCCAAAACAAAAATCCTACAATCCTGCAAACACAAATCATTTTCAGAGTTGTGATGCATTAAAATAAATTAAATGCTTCCTAGATAAATGGCTTGTACCCATTTATATCACCGCTCACTCTGAGGCACTGCGAAAGTTTTGTGCTTTGACAAGAACTCAACTCAAAAACCGCGCAGTCTACTCCACTAACAATTGGATCATTACTTGTCTAGTATCTCCCCAGGGTAGGTACCTCACCCTCCCCAATTGTAATACATGTAAGTTTTCTCTCTACCCAACCCTTCACCTCCATAATAATCACTCAGTGCAAACAGACACTGACACTATACTACATGTACATCCATGAAAGTATTTTGTTACAAATCTTTACGAGTTTAAAATCTTTCCAAATGGTTTGATTTTTCTTTTTCTTCGAATTTTATCATATTAATGGATCTGAGAACAATTTTGATGAAAAAATGAACAAATACACTTGATCTTTGGTCGACTAGTATTAATTTCATTTTTTGTTCAAGAGATCGAAGCCCTCGAACGGGTAGACTGTAAAGTGCAGAAGATTCGACCAAAGTAATCTTATTTGACACCCATCTTGCAAGCTCGTCATTCTAATTAAGCTTCAGTTCCTGGCAGGTGAACTCCGTTATCAACCTTACCTTGTTGTTTTGAATTATGAACTGCTGTCCGTTGATTTCGCCAGGCATTTTCGCGGCAAGTTCGCCTGTCAGATCACCGATAGTGTAATCCTTGGGATCTAAGCGGGGACCTTTTTCCCTATACAAGCAAAGAATTAAAAAAGAAAAAGACATAAAATTCAAATATTGGTGATAAAAATGGAAAGTTATTGAAGTGACATCAAAGGGCTACGATTCTTCGATAGCAATGTCATCCCTTCCTTCTAGAGAATAAAACTTGCCAACTGAACGTCGGTTTTTCGTTGGTTTCTTCATTTGCGTTACTCTCCTCCTTCGAACCTAAGCAACCCATGTTATTCCCTGTATTCTTAGCCCTCCAAGCCGCTCTAATTAGGCTGCAGCATTCGATAGAAGAAGTATCTGAACAGGCATACAATAAAAATTAGGCTGAAATGACTTTGGAACCTGGCAAGGAAGGCGTTACCAAGGGTACTCGCGACGCCACTCGCATGGCACGCGTGTTTTCACGCGCTATCATTCGTTCCTCGAATTTCAATTTTTCGTTGTTTCTTGTTGTTTTTATTTCCCCGTGTCTTTTATAAGAAAGAGTAACTCTGCTGCGTGAGATTGAGTATTAATAGAGTAGTAATTTTCATATTTCTTGTAAATAAAATTGTTCGGCTCTTTGTGGCTAGTGAGCAGGGCAGGTTGAATTTGCAAATGGATTTGCGGAAGAAGAAATTTTTCAACCATCGATAAATCGAGCATTTAAAACTTTACACTAGCAGGAGACATCACATCGTGCAGTGCCTCAGGAAACTTAAGTGATGACTTAGTTTGGTCTTTGCTTGGTCGTCAAATTCATTTGGGAGAACTACTCCTTACTTGAGCAGCACTGGGCCCCTAGTTTTTGATTGTTAGTAAAAGTAGCATATTATGCTACTGGCATTTCTCGATTTTTTCCAGATTATGCTTACAAGTTTGCATTATGTTTTTGTTTATAACATCGCTCATTTATCCAAAGTCTTGATCTTCATTTCGAGTTCAGTTTTTGCTTAACTGAGTTTAAACGGTTCTGATGGAGCCTGAAAACGAGGTTGGCTCTGATGCTTCAGTTTTCACACAAACAACCAGTACGCAACCTGAATGGACATTCGTTGCTCCAATTTTGACGTAATTTATCTATCGCAAAAGAAGAGAACTTTGGTACGACCTGTTTAGTGTACAGTCCAAATGACGGCAATGTTCACGGCTGTTCTCGCCAATAAAGGGTAATCATTTGTAGTGTGCAAAAAGAGATCTTCAAGACCAGGAGCTAACATCATTTCACAGTAATAATTAGATGTTTCATCCAGTATTCTGTTCGTTGGGATCTACGCTGCGTGCATAGTCATTCGGTAAAATTACCTACCATACATTCTTAGTACCTCATATTCGATCCCACTAAGAAATATTTGGTAGAGAGTGAGATTATGAAATAAAATGTACACCTTTTGAGTATCTCGTTACGTTAAAAACGTAAAAACGTTTGAACAATCTACCCACTGAAAAACGTCACAATAAATTGAACCAGAGACGTGAGTCAGCAGTAAGGTCTCTTCATATGCATTTAAAAATTCCCTAAGTTTAATTAAATATGTCTCAATAAACTGAACCAGAGACGTGCCTCAGTAGCAAGGTCTCTTCATATGCATTTAAAAATTCCCTAAGTTTAATTTTTTTCTATGCCTTCTTTATAATTCGTCAGAATGGTCCTTCTACTTCCTCTCCCGGTTTTCACCACAGGGCGGGAGTCAGAGCGAAATATCAGTGAGTCATCAAGCGGAGTTCTTTGACCTCTGCATCCTACTTTTCTTCTCCATACCAGAAGCAAAAGAGAACAAGCAAGTCAAAGGTTCCGGAGATTATCATTTTTTATGACTCCCACTCCCTTTGTGTCCCAGATAATCATATATTTCGTAATTCTCAATGTTGTTTTGACGTCAGCTCATGTAGATCTTTGATCGCACAATGTCTTTTTCTTTAAAGCATTCTGAGTAAATTAGTTTTGCCAAGTAGAGATGAAAGCCAACAATTAGAAAAGCTATCGTAACCCAGAACTTTGCCGGGAGCCCTGCGCGGCGATGGACATGATGATTCTTGAGCGATTCTAGAAAAAATTGAAACATATTCGATTAAACAAAATGTAACGACAATGAACTATGCACCCCTGGGGAAACAAATATTGTACATCTTTGGGAATACATCTCACCAGACGGTTTTCAACAGCATACTCCATTGATATTTCCCGTAATTAGAACGTGCTTAATTTTCAATTTGTAAATTAAGGAGAACCCTTAGGCTTAAACGGTTTCATTGAAAGTAGTTTAACTTCTTATCATCATGATGGAGTAATTTGGATTGGCTGTTGAAAGTAATGTGGTGTCACAACGATCAGATACACCAAACCAAAACCGACTGAGATTTGGTAATCTGAATTTTTCCCAGCTTGAAGTCATTCAAGTACTTTTTTTCTTCAATTCTCATTGACTCTTTTTGATATTATAAAGATTTATTATTTCTAATACGCCTTCACTCGGTCTGTTCCGTCTTAGATCTAAATAAGGACTGTTTTTTTCACATGTCCATCCATGCAGGTAACAGTAATGTTCTAAAAAGTTGATCTTACCTTCATGTGCATCCTTAATAAAAACGTGTTTTCTAAGCTCCAATAGCTCAGACTTGTTATGAGATATGTACAGCAGCGGTGTGACAGGTCTGGTCATACGAACTGGGAAAGTCACTTCGGCCTCACTGAAATTAAAGACATGACATTTGTTCTGGTCTAGAAAAGACGACAAGCACATTTTATGCTGATATTTGATTATTCATTAATTAAAAGGGATTCTAAAAAACCGAAAAAGAAAGAGTTCTATACCAAATTTGGAATTCTAACACTAGTTTTTCAAAGATAGGTTTCATTCGATATGCCATTTTAGAAATAAAAACTTGTCACTATAGAAAGAACGATCCTTCAACTTTTTTCCTGGTCAGTTTATATCCACCACCACAAGTTTCTAAGATCAACTCATATTTTGAATTCATTTACGTTGTCTATCACAAACTCAAAATGCCAAATAGTCTAAAGCCACGCGACATCCTCACAATCATTTTTTGCTAGAACAATTTCGTGACACATCAAGCAGGCTTTACTACTCACCCGACTTCCACAGGGTCATACTGGCAGCCTGCTTCGCATGCGTAAAGAGGCGTCTTGCCTCCCTTAACGGGTTTAACCAGAAGCTTTTCTGCATGTCCAGTTTCAGCATTCACCAACACGGTGAGATAAATGTCCATATCTTCATACAGGTGGATATGACGGAACACGATTGTTGTATGTAGTGAGGCGGGATTTGCCGCGAATTCAAAATGTCCGGCGGAGAACTGCAGGCCTCCAAAACTGAGCGTGATGGCTTGGTTGATACCAACGGCACCTCAAAAAGGATAAAGAAAATAACAAATAAATTATTGCAAAGAAGTACAAGTGGTCAAGAGAGCACTTTGAGTACTTTGAGTACTTAACATTCAGCACTTGTTTCTAGCATGGAATACGCCAGGAACTGTTACCAAGGCTGTCACCATAACCTCGGCCAAGTGACCTGCGTTATTGCTGTTTTCCCAGCATTTCTAATCCTTCTGTATGTGGTTTAAAACCCATTGCACGCCTCCCCTCTCCTCCCACGGGAAAGAACAGAAAAAGCCCCCTAAGAATTAACCGAGTTCTCATGACAGTCCTACAGTATTGATCACTTTTCAATAATGTCCTTTAGGATCGAAAGGCGAGGAAGAGCGAAAAATAGGACAAACACGTTGCCAACGAAAAAGATAAAAATCTTCACCCAATACCTGCTTTTACAAGTGCACTGCATCCATTCTGCTCCAACAGTCTCTGCCATAAGGCCGCTATTTTAGTAACACCTGACTCGGTCCGGGGCATGGGCCAAAGTGAAGCCGAGTGCCTGTGAAGACAAGGAAGAAACAATAACTGATATGAAAACTAACACGGTAGTCACATGTAGTCCTGTGTGTATCTCTCGTCTAAAGTGCACTCTAGTCACGCATTGTCACGAGCACACTTACATCGTGGGTGGGCCACCAAAGCAGTGATCTGGAATATGAAGAAGTTTTTCCATTTCATCCTTGTGTGCCTGAGGGTTTGATGCTCCATTGACACGGGAAGGAAAAGACGACAAGACATAGTACATTGTAGTGTTGACTTCCAAACCAGAGGGTGTGTCAGGATCATGTCGAGGATCCACAAACAAACCTGTCTCAGTCAACTAGTGAATCAAAACAACATGGTACTGTTGGTTTAGTTTTTACCCCTTCACACCCTAACATCAGTATACATATTCTCCAAACTATTCTCTATACACTTCCTATGGTGCTGACAAGGAGAATTTGTTAGTAATCCAGAGCTCCTTTTGTTGATATTCATTTCCTTTACTCTCATGATCCTAATGTTTGATTCAGGGGTGACATCGCAAGGAAAAACCAGAGAGTAAAAGGATTGAGGAGGAGGTTTCCCGTACTTGGGACAAAAAAACTTACATGATAGGATGATCATCAGCTCCGGCCCCGCGTTTCATTTTATCTTATCATATGAATAAAGCGTAAATTAAAACATGAATCGATCTTTTTCAAAGAATATAATTTCTTGAGAAGTAAGATAAATGACAAATTCAGTTACAACGCAAAATAAGTTATGTTTTGGAGAAGATGATATGTGCATTATTTCAGACCAAAAACGGTAGAAATTGATAAGATAGTTCTTTACCTCTTTCCAGGCTGTGCTGTGAGATTCTCTCAATGATTCTGGACTGTCTAAGGAGACAAGAGCTCGGAGTTCCTGTAGCGTGAAAAAAACTGAAATGAATAAATTGGAAATTCACAAAAAAATTTCTTTAGTTTTCACTGATTCCTTTGATTAGTTTTCAAAACAATCCTTACACCACATTACGTTCAGAGAGACCTTGCTTACCCACAAAGCAAGGTACTTCTAAACCTGTAAATAAACAGGAGTTACCGAATACATGTTAGAGACACGGGCGCGTAAAGCTGATTGAAAATGATTGTTAGTAAGAAGCTTGAGCATAAAAAACCCCCAGCGTTGCCATCTCTTAGTCTTGTGTTTGATTTCGTTACCTTTTCTGCGTCCTCCTGGAGTTTTTCAATATTCACACGCGGCGCCGGTTTTTGACCAAACAAACTTGATGTGTGTACAACTGTTAAGTGACGCAAAATTCCAGTACTACAAGGAAGAAAACAAAAGCACTCTTAGAATAACTCCGAAATTATCAGTTGCGAAAATTACAGGTTTTTTTTGAAGGTATCTGGGTCTCATAGGAACATTTCAGTGTGGCTTCGTAGAAAAATTTGACAATGTAGAATGATGCTTACAAGCGGAAAACCAAACAGCAGCGCCAAAAACAAATACACGACTTTGTGAAATTCTACAACATTCGTGGATCACACAAAGAATCGTTGAATAAAAATTGTGCTTGAGTGGGGCATTTGAACGCAATTTTTGCCCGTAGCGAGGATTTGAAAGGACCAGTATTTTAGACTTCAAATGCCAGGGGTTTACTGAAGCTTCGAATTGAGTATTACGGTCGGTCAGATCAGTAACTTTGGCTACAAGTAGTCCCAAATTTTTTTCAGCCAGGATGAATACATAGTGCAAAGGGATAAAGTTTTCGAGATTTTGAGACTTACAGGATGATTACTTGCGATGGAAATCGTTATCGTTATCTTGCAACCTTATGAATTCTTTTCAGTTAAAAATAATTCTTATAAATAGTATAAACAATCAATCATCTCATGATTTACACATAATTCATTCATGTACATTTAAACCTACTATTCTCACTAATTAACCTATCAAACAAAACTTTTTTCAGACCTCTGTCCTTGCACTGTCATTTCTGGTGGCACTCTTGATGTGGCAACTGTGACATTGATGTCGGGTTCTGATTTATCCACATGGGCTACTTGCCCATGAGAGAGAGTGTAGTGAGCTTTGGATGGGTCCATGGTTCTTTCAAAGCTGAAAGGAGAGCACATTAAGTCAGTAACAAAGAAGTCTTCCACACACTTTCCATGCGGCTTGTCCAGATTCCAAGCGTGAGGCAAAACTGTAGAGGAGGTATATGTAACCAAGTGACTACTCCTTATTATTATTTGTTGGTCTTCTGAGATACATACACTGAATATGGCATATAACACAATTTCAAAGATCAGCACTCCACCTTACACAAATGAAGACAGGCATACAAACACCCTCTATTAAACATTAGACAAAAATAATATATTTTCATTTGTGAAAATTTTCCAATTTTTTCATGTAACCTTGTCCGATAAAATTTTTCTTTGCTAAGTTAAACACCATTCTCTGCAAAATAAAGGGGTCCGCAACAAATTTCTTACTACACCAACCTCATTCTAGAGTTATACAAAGGATTCCTTTTCTTTCGAAGAGAGAATTTTTTTTCCTCTATGTGAATGCTACCTCTGTAAAATGATGTTGGCTGCTTATTAAGAGAAAATGGATCCCACTTCCCTAAAAAGATACTCATCAAGGTCTTCACACTTTGCACAAAACTGGCAATTACCTCAAACTTTTAGTGGTGGAACCTTTCCATGCCTTTGCACCCTCATGTGTTAGCAAAACTTTGATTCCAGAATGCTGATTAAAAGTAGACATATCATGTTTAGACTATTTATTTCTATCAACAATTCCTATAAAATAAGGTTTTAGATTTATCTTAGTCTGTTGTTCATGAGAAATGAACAACAATTTTCTTCATTGACAACCAGCTAAAATTGTGCCATCTTCCTTGAAAATTGAAATAAAAAGAATGAGAAAGCCTGAGAAAGTGTGCTGTTGATCTCAAAATATAGAAAAGTCTGTATGCAGGCCTTTGCACTGATGGGAAAATGGGATGATTTTAAGAATCAAACAAAATATTTGCCTACAGACCCCATGATTAACGACCACAACTTCTTGGACCAAGACAGAGGATTGACTGCGATGAGCATAAATTACATTCTCAACAATGACACATCCATGGCTCTGTCAACATAAATAATGCCAATACATTTTCATAATCAAGTTAAAAATGTAAAAAAATAATCGAAAATTACTCTAGAGTCCGTGCCATGTACCTTAATTTGTATGTTTTCTTTGGGAATGATAACTCACAGTTTTACATGCAAAATAAAGCTAAATGTGTCCAAAAAATATTTTGTAGACTGAAGGAATAAAAAAATGAATAAAAGACACTTTTTAAACTCTTTGAGGTCATTGTCAAGTTACAGGTGTGATTGCTTTGTTTGACTTGAAATCGAATGAGCCTCACAGTCATGACACTACATCTAGTTCTTTGTTCAATAATAATTATTGCCATTTTTGTTTTTTCCAAATGTTTGGTCATGGATTTAACAAGCCATGAAAAACTGTAACTTGAAGAAGAAACATCAACAACATTTAAAATGGTGTAAACCTAGGAATAATTTAAAAAACTATTCATAAAATTGTCTCTAGTTATCATAGCTGACTATAATAATACATGTTTAATACTGGTAAATTGTTTGTCATTAAATAAAATATAAACTAAGAAATTTGTTCACACTACATTTACTTACAAAGGAGTAGGTTTGAAGTTGATGAACCAAACCTTTCTTAAGATCAATAATTGTTGCCTCTATAAATAAAAAAATATATAATTCAATATTTATTTCATAATTATATTCTAAAACTTAAGAGTGAACTACTATTAAATTTTAAGACCTAAATCATTTCCAGTAGGTTGTATGTTTGCTGGCATGTACAGAAAATCTGAAGGATGCTAGAGACCTTGAGAAAAAATAAAAGGCTAGGTGCCCTGACTGTTTTAATTATTATAGATTAAACTTAATGTAACCGTTCATGAAGAAATGCATGAATATGTACAGTACATGTACCTCTTGGTTTAGGAACATTAGAAGCTTTTGCAGTTACAATAGGGAAGAACGGCAGCTTAAGCCATTTCATGCTGGGTTGAATTAGTGCTATGTGCATAAAAGAACTGTCTGTAGCTACAACTCCAACATTACCATTCCCTGAGAAGAAAAAGACAAAAAAAATGCCTTATTATAAAATCATTAAATATGCAGGTTTGTGTTAGTAGTGACACAAGAAGGAAGTAATTTTATCAGCAGCAAGGACCTGTCTCCATAAAAACTGAACCACAGCAAAATCTCCATGCTGGTGAACAATCAACATTGATACCAAATGTTAATTGTTAACCAGCAACACAGTTTTACAAAAGGGTACATGCATCTTATTATGTTTCAAATAATAGAGAAGGCGATTGTTAGGTTCCTTATCTGTAAAACATATGATGGTGTCGGGTAATAAAAATGTATAAAGATGAGAGACAATGAATACAAGTAATAGACAACCATGTTATATTTACCAACAAAAGGTAAGTATGGATTTTCTGATTTTTCATGTGGTTTATGGATTATCACCACATCACCATCTGCAGCCACTTGTTTCCACTTTTCCAAAACATCACTAAGGCAGACTTTATCATATGCTACATGAAAGAACAGTTTATAATGTACATAAGAAACATTAAAAATTATTTGAATGTTTCATGAGGTACATTAATTTTTTCATACCAAGGTAAAGGAAGTAATATTCAAGTGCTTGCCAATCTATCAGACTGATAAAACAATTGTTTGAACAATACATACTGTTTTAATTCTTTTTAGCCTTAATTTCTTTTAATGCTTTTGAGTCATTAGATATGTTGTCCATGAACTTCTCCTCTCTCTATACATGTATCTCTGATTTCAGCCAGAAAAGTCTCAACTCGCTCCGAGCATTTTTAATAATTAATATGACAAAATTAACATGACACAAGAGCTTTAAACAGCATGCACATGGTACTTTTTCAAAACTGGTGTCACAAACACTGTATGGAATACTTTGAGATGGTGAAAATTCATTGTTTTACAACCATGTTAAAAAACAGTTCCATGAACAATGCTTGCATTCTACACTCAGAACAGTTTTATTATGATTTTGTTTCTATTGTCTCTACTTATCCTGTTACTTGGTGTATGGTGCATTAATTTCTATCATTCTGAAATGTAAGTTCTACTATTACCAGCCTAATCCTTTATTGGAGAGTACTGTAATTCTTTGCTTGATTTGCATTAATTTCAATTTCAAGACTTAATTTCAAATACCATTATCCTTAAAAGAAATAACTAGCTGCATGATCAAAATCTGATAGGTATGCTTACCAGGTGCTTCAGGAAGCTTTCCCTGTCTATGGTGGGGCATGAATCGTGATATGGTCCATATAAAAAACACAGTAAAAATAGCAATGACAATTAAAGTATTCCTACGTGACCTGCAAAAGAAAATTAAATGTGATTCAGGATACCATCCTAAAATTGAAATTTCTATCTAACTCAGGGAGAAAAAAGAAAGATGTTTTTCTTTTATACATGAGCACAGAACACAGAAAGAATTCTGAGGAGATGGATCTGAGGCCTTTGGATTTGACACTCCCATGCTCTATCATTGAATCACATGCACCTTGCATAAAACTGCTATGATGAGCAACCTTCTACAAAGTTCATATGACAGGTGTCCTACATACTGCTAGGATCAGAAATGTCGATAGCATCATGTCTTGGGAATAAAAGGGTTTGTAGAACAAGAAAAATGGTGGAGGAAAAAGAAAAATAGTTGAAACTTAATAGAAGGACCAGGAATCTGTTCCTCTAGAATATGAAATGAATGCTCCTATTTAAAGACGACTGTTAAAATGCAAGAGGAAAGTCCTTATCTGGATATTTTTTCCTGTTACTGTAAGAAATGTCGATTTTACAGTATATTATACAGAAAAGAATTATTCTGAATATATTCCGTTCCGATATAGGCAACCAAATGCAACTAACTCTTCTCCAGAAACAACATATTTAAAAAATAAGTTCTATTTAAAGCTCAGGATTATAACAAGTAACAAGCTGATCACAAGTAAATGCTGCAAGATAGATATTGTTTGTTTGAGATTAAAACAAGTGTAAATCCACAGGTATACGCTGCCTATTGAGCTACAATCATACCTCACATGCGTCAGAAAAGCGAATCTCCCTTTCAACCATGTTACAAAATTTCCAAAATGCGTCACTACCCACATAGGAATGGATCCCTTCGATGCATGCGCTGAAATATTATTATTTTGTTAAGTTCGCATCTTTGCACGCCTTGCGGCCATCTTTGTAACTGCAGTGATCAAAGCAGCGGGTAGTATCTGAATGTTATGCGCAATCATATCTATAGCGTATAAACGCTGACCAAAACTATTTTCTTAGTGCCCAAGCCTATTTGGTCGTAATTAGAACGAATTTGACGCCTTGCAAAGTTTGTTGAAATGGTTGGGTGTAGTATTCTTGCCCACAGCATTTACCTTTAGTTTAGAGGACAGTGCACTTTGCAAAAATGCATCGCACTTTTTCAACTCATGGTGTGCGATGGCTGCGATCATTGTCCGTAGAATTTCGCCCCTCACGGTCATTATCGAATCGTGCGTTTTTCCTCCCTCTGCGTTCTTGTGGGATCATCTCAGCATATCCATATTGGAGGAGGCAATTTTCCAAACAAAGTGACACTTCAGCTTCGTTAGATGCGGACGATGAACACCCAGAGAGTGCAGAAATATTACAAGATCTTCGAGCTCGTCACCATTACCACCACGACAAAGATGCAGGGAAACTTCATGAAGTTTACGTTTTAGAACCCGATTTTAAATGGGGAAGAAATCGCTTTCGAGCCGTCACAAGCCAGCATCGACTAGATGAAGCATGTGCGCTGGTGGAGTCGATCGAAAGCTGGAAGGTGGCCGGTAGAAGTATAGAATCCGTCAGAAGGATGGACAGAAAAACATTTTTCGGAAAAGGAAAGATCGAGGAGTTAAATGAAAGATTCAAAGAAATGAAAAATTCTTCTTCTCCCTTTGACAGTGTTTTAATCGATGTAGCTCAGCTCAATAATTGGCAGCATACACAATTAGAAGACATTTGGGATGTTAAGGTGTATGATAGGTTTGGTGTGGTGTTGCAAATATTCAAGGAGAGAGCCAAAACAGCAGAGGCAAAGATTCAGGTGGAATTAGCAGAGTTACCATACATCAGGTACATTCAGTCTAAACCACATACACTCAATTTGTAGGACAAAAGGCGGCCTTTATTATGACAAGCTTATTAATGAACTGATTTGGTCAAAAAAACAACCTTTTGTAATTTAATCAAATTAAGCTAATAGATCAAACAACACTTATACATGCTATTAACAGAAAGGCAGCAGAAAACAGAACAGATAAGAAAGAACACCACAATGAAATACCAGGAGGCATGGAAGGAAAAGAAAAATGGCTTCTAGGTACACAAATGAGGTGTAATGGGTGTTAATGTGCTAAGCAATTGAATTACTGAACTTAAAGCTCTTTGTGATCTTTTCTGAATACCTAAAGTATGACTATACTTTTGCTATTACAGTTACAAAATAATACAATTTTCACAATTAGCCTTTTATGTAGAGGTGTACAGTTTATTAATACCTGGAACTTTAATTTTATGGACAGGTCAAGATTGGTACATAGAGGGAGTTTTGATCAGCAGAGAGGTGGAACACACACCATAGGAGGATCTGGAGAAACAATCCTGGAAAAGCAGAGAAGGATTTTATTTGAACGTGAAATAAGACTGAAAAAGAAGTTATACGCTATCAAAAAGCAGCGTGAGCATGTTAGGCATGACCGACAAAAGAGACATGTACCAACAGTGGCAGTTGTAGGTTACACCAATGCAGGTATTGAATGATGTACCATCTTAGTACTTACATGACCATTCTAAGTGTACCGGGATCAATTCTGAGTTAATTACTCTTTCAAAATTAACATGTATTTGCATTTTATCCTTGCTCTTGTTTGAATTGCGATGGATACACTGTACTTGGAGAGGGTATGCTGAGAACCACCCTTCCTGCATGTACATGTGTACAGTAAATCCTGTAATTATATAGCATTGTGATTGTGGGGTAAAGCCAAACGTTCTGATTGATTCTTACTTGGTCAAGATTTTACCATGTGGACTATTTCCATGGATACTGTCATAAGCCATGTATTTTGTTCATGAAAGCGGGTAAATTCAGCACAAAGAAGGTTGGTCAGAGTGCCATTTAATAAACTACTTGATACTAACTTTGTTTCCTTGAGTGGTGCTGGCCAATATTGTCCCTTGATAGAAATGTATGCACCTTGCTATGCTTGGTCCATACTGCTATGACCTTGGACCAATATTCCCCAGTGTGGCCCTTGCCCTTCTTCAGTAAGAAGTAAGAATTAGTGCCTCTGCTTTACTAGTTGTACTCCCTTTTTCCCATCATTATGGAGAAGCACTGGTATATAGATAACAGAGAGTCGGTCATGCTTAAATTAATATTTTGGTACTTTTTCACATGACAGGCAAAACAACTCTGATTAAGGCGTTAACAGATGAAGCTAAGATGCAGCCTGAAGACAAACTCTTTGCAACTCTTGATGTAACAGCACATCCAGGGAAACTCCCATCTGGCATGACTGTTCTCTTTATTGACACTGTCGGATTTGTGTCCGACCTGCCCCCAGAACTTGTTGAGTCTTTTTCTGCAACATTGGAAGATATTTCAGATTCAGTAGGTTGAGCTTTTTTTCTGTAAATGCTATGTGTTTTGTCTATACACTGAGTCAAGTTTTTTGAAATAGTTCTGGAGTAAGTCTGCACTATAAGTGAGCAATATGGCCTTGTGAGCTGGTTCAAGTTTCTGTAGCATGATGATCTCATGAGTATTGCTCATCACCCCCCTCCCCCTCCCCCTGGATAAGATGCTAGTCCATTGTTGTTTACCTACTCCACCCCCAACCCAGCATTTTGCCTTTAGCTTACCTAAGAGTTTACCAGTATCATTGTACACTCTTGGGTGGAAAGATGAAATCAGAAATTAGAGTAATGCATCTTGCTCTAGATCTCAACAAAAGGACAATGAGAAAGGTTATACTGTATTTATTAGTTTGACTCCAACCTCCAAATGAGTGCTCACCTCGAATAAGCGCCTTCCCTGTACATAGGAAATTAAGGAAGAGCCCAGCCTTGATTAAGTACCCATCTTGGATGCGACCACTTTTCAGGTCCAAAGATCTAACAGGTACCCAGTGCACTTCATCAAATAAAAATGGTGTGTAGAAATTTTTTTATGGTGATGAGAAAAGTTGAAGGTTTCTGGAGCATACTTGTCTTTGATTTATAACTCTCTTAGTTATTGGAAATACATTGTTTTTGTAGCTCCATTTTGTTCCCAATGTGCTGATTGACATGTGTGTGTTATGAGCTTTTTTGTTGATCAGTCAGGACACCAATGGAGTCATTGCATATATATTTATTTATTTATTTATTTATTTATTTTTTGCCATTTAAAGTTATTTTCCACCTCTCATTTTACACACAGGATTTAGTTGTACATGTGCGTGACGTCAGTCACCCAGAATGTGACGCTCAACTGGATGACGTCATGACAGTTCTTGAGAAACAACTCAGCATTAAGGCACCTTTAATGGAAACCATGATAGAGGCTCAGAATAAGATTGATCTTTGGTACGTGATGGGTGACACGAGTAAGGGAGCGTAGCCAACTCTTGATAAGCGAAAATGAACTCCATTTTTTCTTCTTTTTTTTATTTAATGGGTATGGTAATAGAACTTTGTTATATTTAAGCTTTTTCGAGGGAACACGTAATGAATTTGAATACACCAAACATTTTACTGAAACTGCAAAGAAAATTTAGAATGTAAACAAGAGGTGGCCTGAAGGGAGATGGAATTGACTGAATCAAAGTTGAAGGGTTCAACCTGTTTGGGTTTATTTTTGTTTGAAAGAGAAGTTTAATTTTACATTCGAAAAGCTTCTCATTATGCATGCCATTCATGTTTATAAAATGTATCCCAGCGAAAGGGCAAAAGACTTAACTCGAAAATTAATATCATCTGCTTTGATTAAGTGGTCTTTTTCATAATTACAAACAGTACTATAACTAACTTGCAAATGTCTTAACTTTCGAAAGTGTTCACTTCCATTTTATTGATTAAGTCAAATACTATTATAAATGGATAAACACTTCCAGTAACTATTCTGCTTTTTCTTTCCTTTTCGTTGTTCTAGCAATGATAAAAACTTCCAAGTTAGATCCGGCGTGTTAAGCGACAGGCGGACCAAGATAAGTGCGGTAAACAAAACAGGTTTGAGTGAGCTTCGTGCAATGGTCGAAAAAGGGATCATAGCATCCACAGGGAGACAAGTCAAGAAACTTGTATTTCCTCCAGATGGACCACAGCTTAGGTGAGAAGACAGAAAAGCATTCAGAAATATTCAAACGCAGAGGATTTATGCAGAGCAACGTTAACTTGAAACATGATTGGCAAAATTTGTTATTGATATCTTTTTTTCATGTGATCCTCTGACTTGAGACCAAAAGGTTGGTTTGAACTATTGGAATAGCTGTAATAAGTAATTTGAGACTTTCTTTGCGCTTTTGAAAAAAGTCGTTTTCTTTTCACGACTTAAATGGATGCAGATATATCTTTTCTTTTTGACTGTTTATTTTAGCTGGCTTTATCACGAGACAACAGTCCAGGACACATCAGCTGACGAGGATGGAAATATTGTTGCTACAGTCGTCATGGATGAAGCAGCGAGGAAAAAATACCAAGCAAAATTTGGGAAGATTGATTAATGGCCTCTTCCCTGTTTGCAAATCGTTCAACTGAAAAATAGCAAGGAAGAATTCTACCATGGCTCTAAACCGATAAACTAGCAAAGGAAAACGTAATTGTTTTTCCCCTGCATCCCATTTGAGTTTGTCTGCATATGAGGATCGCCTGTTATTTACCATACGGTCTACAAGCATGGTGGAAAAGTAAACGCTTAATATGTATTTGGTAGGAAAAGGTCTGTATTTCATGACGACTAGTTTTCTTCACATGGGACGTAAGAAGCGTCTTCTTTCACCATATCGAGAGAGGAAGGTTGCAAGCACTTCGTAACTTAGAACAGTCTCCTTTCAACCGATGTCACCAGCTACCGAAACCTAGCAAGCGAATTATTCACGATATTAGGGACTTTAAGATCCAAAAACGCGGACTTCGTCAAATATACCGAAGCCGCGTGGGGCCTGTGTCGAGGACGCCGTGTTCGTGATGGGAAATTTTAAGTTAAGATGGCGGGATTCAACGACGCGGCTACCCGCGGATAGAATAAAAAGAGTAGTGAAATTACTTTATTTCTGAACAACAGAAACCGATTATAGTATTGTTTTCAGTGCAAATGGCGACTTTTAAAGAAACTCGCGAAATTTTGCTGGCCAGCTATGCCTCTAATATCATTACGATTGAAGAATATGCTTTGCTTTTCGAAGAAAACAGTTCAAACAACTTGGATTTTCCGTACTATAACTACCCGCCGTTTAACTTAGAGAGCCAAAGTGAAGCCGAGTGTAGGGCAAACTTCAGGGTGGAAAAGCACCACATTCCTCTGGTAGAAGATGCTCTTCAAATTCCGCAATACTTCGTATGCGACCAGGGAACTGTTTGCGAAGGAACAGAAGGGCTTTGCATGCTTCTGAAGCGATATTCCTTTCCTTGTCGATACTCAGACATGATACCTATTTTCGGAAGGCCAGTACCAGAACTTTGCATGATATGCAACACCGTAACCAGTTTGGTGTTTGAGGCCATGAGAACTGTCTTGTCTTGTCTGTTCAGAAATATGAGTGAGCCTGACAAGAAAATACAAAAAGAAATGACGAATGCAGCCGGGATGATAAAACTTTCGATATACAAAGAAAAAGTGCCAATTTACTGTGTTTTTGTAACTGAAATAAGTCGAAATACTTCCAGTTTGTTGACAACGTGAAAATGCTGTCCAGTGCGTTCTTCTTGAACAAGGACGCGACTTGTTTACGTCACGATCATGCGCTGTGGTGATCATTGATCATCTGTGGTATTTTTACTTCCGGTCAGCTTCAGTCACGTCCGCGTTGTTGGATCTTAAAGTCCCTATTGACTGAACAGTGACAACTGACTCACTCCGCTTGAGTCTTGCTGCCAAAAGCATCACGGGAAAACTCACTAGTCAATTTTTATAAAGCGGTTTTTCAAGACTTAAATGACGAAAGACTCCATACTTAACTCTGGTGATGACTTTCGCTCAGATTGTCTGATGAACGGGTACTGACGTTATCAACAGTTATTTTCTCGAACTTCCTTCACTTGGACGATCGGACTTCACGATCGAAAGATCCATTTCGTTTACATAGTATGTTTTTAATGTGTTTTCCTTGAAGGATAATAAAGTGGATTTAGTTATTACATTGCTTCGAAGCATTATTATATTTTGCTGAGAGAGCTCTCCAGATATAAGTCCCGGCTCCTCAGTTCCGCGCGCTAAGTTCCCTGTAAATTTTACAAACCCAAGGCTTGAAATCCTGGGAAAGCCTGCGCTTTTCGTCTGTAGTTCCAAAGATAACTGAGAAAAAGATGTTTGTTTGTGCGCTCTCTAATGATTCATACTGCATGTGATTCATAGGTGCACAGTACTTTCTTATTATCCTCTGAGTAATTTCCAGTGTTGAGAACTAATTTCCTGTCCCAGGATCCTCATTTTGACGCGCCACATGCACTTAAACTCTTTGTCAATTTGAAAAATTACTGTTATACTTGTTTTTAAAAGCTAATCACTTTTCTTTTTGATCTGGATAATTTTCAGTGTTGAAAACCAGTGTCTCACTTTGAAGTGGTAAATACACGGGTGCCTTTACGTTCATTTGTTAGATTACTGTCATAACATACATGCGTGTATCGAATATAAGTAAACAAAATAAAATAATTCCATTACTACCTCTTGGTATGAATAATCTTCTCTAAACATAATCAGGCATCTAAAAGTCCAAGCACAGAGCGAAAACAACAAAAATCAGACAATCGCGAGTTACTGCGACGTTCAAATGGAAATTTCTCTAACAGGTTTACTCAAGAGACATTTCAGTCGAGCCATTTTTTTCTTGTGCCCAGGGAAAACAATGGGCGCGCAAGGGAGCAAATTTAGCGTAATTTCCTCCTCCCACAGTCCTTCGCGCACGTGCTCGTCTCAAATTACTCAGAGTTTTCGTACAACACCTAAGTGAGAGGCATGAAGGCGTCGATAGAAAGCAATGTTCACTTGTCTCGAAAACTCTTCCGGGCCCGCATTGAAAGTTTAGTCCTAATTCCTAAACCACGTGTTCCCTTTCAAAATCCTCTCTCTCGGATTCAAAAAGTTTCCTGCAAGTGCCCTCAAGAACGGCCCACAACGAATTTCTGAAATTCCTGCTCACCAACTCGTAAATAATGGGATTACAAGACGAATTGACCACTACTAACAAAATGCACAGATAAACAATGTCGGGGAAAAATGGCATCAGAGCTAAATGAGGCCAGAAGGCCAGAGTTAGGAGCATTAAGTTAAAAGGAAACATCGTAATGGCGAACATGATGACAACAGGGGTGAGGATGAGCTGGGCTTGCTTGTTTTCTTTTAATCTGCGACAGACTGGTGCGTTACTTGTGCTGCTGAGCTTTGAAAAGATTTGACTTGATGTTGCTGTGAACGAGCTTGAAGGTTCTGCACTGATTGTTTTGTAAAAATGTACGATAAATTTTGTGCTTTCTTTGAGTGTCCTCGTTATTGATATGTAGTTGCATAAAATTATGCCCATTGGAACTCCAAACCAGAACAAAAACAACACGACAGAGTGCACTTCGTGGAACTTTTCATATTTATCCCAATGGTAGAGGCAAAATTTGTCATTTCCAGTGTCAATATATTCAACCATAATGTAAAATGGTGTAGAAGTTACCAGAAAGGACGCAATCCAAATGGCTGCAACGACTCGCATTGCATATCCCGATGATTCTATTGTTGATTTAAGTCTAGTCGTCAATATTTTTCGCCATCTTTCCAGGGAAACAGCTGTAACTGCCCATACTGACGCGCCGAAAAATACGTCTGTCAAAGGAAAAATTAATCGGCACACGTACTCACCAAACGGCCAGCTAATCTCACTTCTGATAATTATCATGGGGTAGGCAATAGTGAGAATTCCTATATCAGCCACGGCTAAGCTTATCAGATACTGCTTTATGGGTGATTTGAAGGGTTCGTGTTTGCTCATTAGTGTGACACAGGTGAGAATATTTCCCATAACGCCAACCAGTGCGATGAAACTAGTGGCAGTCAACTGCAGTATTGGTTCCGCGCCAAAGTAAGTCATACGAGCTGAAGTAACGTGTGTCGTGGTGTTGTTCGTCATTCTTTCAAACCATTCCTTTCCGTGAAAAAGTTGTTTTTCTGAGGAGGAAATTATATTTTTCCTGTTTTTAAAACAGCCAGATGTATCTTATCTTAACATGCGCAGAAGAAATGATGTTAACTTTACATGCTATTGATACCACAAAAAAATTTACTGCGGTAATAATCTTCATTTTAAAATCCATAAAATATTATCTAAATTACCTTTTTCCATATAAAAAAGTTGATAGTTCAAGCAAAGAAAGAGCGCTGTAAAAACTGAAGGAACATGCGAATTCAATAACTTCTCCTTACGGCCAAAGCGTGTACGTGACACTCGCCTGCAAATATTATTGGATTCCAAATTGACTGATAAGTTTTTTTTGGGTTTCCTGTTGACGTCGCGGTTTGTAATTAAAATTTTCAAAGACTCCATGATCTACCAAGTACAATTTTCGTTGAAAACTGACACCAAACATATCGCAGTTCCTGTAATCATAATAAATACAAGTTGAGGCTGCGGGCCTGCGTGATTGTTTTTTCCTTTCGTTTGTCAATCTTTTGGTATAACTAGCTGATAAATGTTTGAGCTCTCTAACTGCTTTGATTATTCTTATCCTCGGGCGCTCAACTTGATAAATCGCGCCATCATTAGTAATGACTCAAACCGCAACTGCATATTTAATTGATAAGATCTGATAAGTTAATGACCTTGTTTTGTTAACATCGCTCGTGGCACCAACGAGGCATCGAGCGCGAAACCTGCACACTATGCTAAACATTCTTTTAACAAATGCACGAAAAGAGGTAAACGGCGTGGTTTTCAAACTTGGAACAGAATAAAAAGGGGACGGATTGGAAGTTGGCTTTAAACAACTGATGTTCAAAAATTCGTGACTTACACCTAAATTTCGGGTACTTATTCACTGACGGAAAACGTTGGTAATTAATTTACCACGCAGGTCTTTTCATGCGTTTAAAACTTCTCTGCGCCTTTCTGAACATGTATGACCCTTACAACGGAAATTCTGTCTAGTTATATTCACTTCTACAGACATCACCATCCTTTCTTCATTTGATTTACATCTCTATTTCATAGAAAACAAAATCAGAGTCTGCTCAGCTGTATGGCTGCTGTTGCAGCTTTGTGTCAGTAGCCTAGTGGCTCTTAAATGTGGATAACTCATTGAGTGCGTACTGAATATTGAGATGGTCAAGAACTGACGAGATAGCGAAATACGCGTATACTTGTTGAACTTTATTTGCTGCTAGTAATTATAAGTGCTTAAACAGATCGAATTTGATCGAATCGCACAGCAAGCAAATATAATTCTTCTTCCACGTAAAAATGTCCATAGATTGACGAGAGAATACTGTTAAAGCACAATCTATAAAACCATTTATATTGTTTTAAGCACAAGACCAGGCTTATGCACAGTGGAAACAAACTACTACTATGTTTTCGGAAGATTGAACGAAACGTGATAAAACACTGTACACGTATGTGTCCCAAATATCAACCAAACAAGAAAAATGATACATCACCCTGGTACACGTCATCTGCTCAGAAATTCTTCTTTGAGCTTTAAGTTCGCGTACTTAGCTTAACTGAAAGAAATCAACTGAAAACTTACCGGCCTCAAACTAAATGTAGCGTGTAATGCTAGTTGATAGCTAATCGCGGTCTATCCAGCCACACTACGCTGTGGGCCAAATGCTGAGCAGCGTCTTCGTTTAAGGTCCAGTTCCCGGATCTAGTGATAATATTTGCACAATTAAAATAATAGCACTTATCAGTATTGATCTGCATTATGATTTGAGACATGCACATGTCACGGTAAAATCAGAAGTGCTTTGCATTGTTTCATGGAAAAAATGCACAACAATTAGCATTTATGAGGTAGTAAAACGCCAAAGAATTTTGAGCAGTTTTCTGCTTCCTAAGAAAGTGCCTTTTACGAGCGAGGAACTATGGTCCAATATTAGTTTTTGAACAATAGCTAAACCTGGAGAGAATAGTAAAAAGCAAAGGAACCTGGCCAAATAAACTATGGAAAAGATTAATGCTGATTGACCTTAAAAAAGAAAATGTCATGTAATCACATACCTGACACATGGAAAGGATATCGAGGGACATTTACATCAATTGAGCTTTGAAATGCACAAGGGTGATTTAGAATTATCAACGAGTTGATAACATAAATCGGCCGCCGAAAACAGTTTTATAGCTGACGTTTCGAGCGTTAGCCCTTCATCATTCGCTCTGACGAAGGGCTAACGCTCGAAACTTCAGCTTTGAAACCCTTAACGGAGGCCAATTTACGTTATCAATTCAGTTGATAATACTAAGTTACCTATTATACTCCCATCGACGCAGCACCGCAGTTTCTTCAGAACTTACTCCTTTATTCATTTGATCACTAGTTCGGTAGACCTCAAAGAACCAATGACTTAGTTACTTATTTTTTCAAGTCAAACTAAACTTCATTATCTGTAACTAAACGTAACTGAAACAAACTTGTTGGCCCTATTTTTCAAATCATCATTATCAACCAACTTGAACTCAGTTTCCTGAAACTTCCTGCTTACTCAAACTAACTTTAGTTGCCCTTAGCTCAAATTTACCCTGATAGTCACACTTTAAGTTAAAACGTCGGTCGATAAACTTCGAAGTTTCAAACATAGCAAATTCACACGACCCAAACTTAACCTTGACTAATGCGAACGAAACAAGATTTATGAAAACGTAATACATCTTGCTTAACTTCTCAATCTAATCGCTTTTGTTTTTTAGAAAAAGCTCTTATAAAGCAAACTAATTGTACGAAAATGACTATTGATTGTGCAAGAATGGTAAGAATATGATTCCTTAACAATTATGAACAGGATAGTTGAAATTTAACACAAAAACCGTTTTTCGTTACCCTTAGGCGCCCTATTTAGCGAGTTTATTGGGGTCAAGTTTCAAATAGTACTTTAACGGTTTTATCGCGAAAGACACCTGCGAAGGTCTACCGCATGCTCAACACATGTTCTCTTCACTAACATTATCCGAAATGACGCCAGAAATTCTGTATCAATGCTTTATTAATTATCGATTCATTTTTTTGTAGATTTGAGTCAAATCAGTCGTGTCTCTTGCCAACAGCCGCAGTCAAATCGTAACACACCGCGGGCTCAAGCTATGTTTGCCATTCCTCGTATGATTTGTAGGCTTCCAGGGTTCATCTAACAACTGTGATTGGTTGGGTAAAATTTGATCGATGAGCTTTCCTATGGTAAAGTATATTTTCAATACTTTTCAGCAACTAAACAGAAAAACTTTGAGGAGATCTACTGTGAATATCTTTAACTTTATTATGACCAAACAACAAACAATAGCGTAGAAACAGGGCTAAAAGGCATGAACGTAGGAAAGAACAAACAGACAAATATTCAAATAAAATTGACCAGCCCTACCCGCCCCCCGCCCTTACAAACATAGGATCTCTTTGCTCGACTATATTTGCCACGTCGAGAATAATCCCCCGAGCTACACATACTACATTCCTTAGTTACGTAACTCGATTTTAGCAGAAAGCTCAACGAAACACAAAGTAACACGTGCATGTGGAGACGATACGTGAAAAACGTTTGCATGTTTTTAATCAGAAACCTCCAAAATGTATGTTATACAATAACATAATAACCTGACTTCATACCTATCGTGTTTTCCTCTTTCCGTTATGGTTTTTGGGACGATTAACAGCGAGTCTCGGGGTTAGTTCGGAGCTCCTATTTTTTTCTATAAATCCTATACAGGTACTTAAAACTGCAGCGACGTGAGTCACTTTACTTAAGCCTAATCTCGGACATTGTTGTGGTCTTTTAATACAACGGGTTGGTTCTCTTCCACAAATCCCTTTGCGTCATAACAAGCTTGGGCTACCTGTGCCAAAACGTGGAAATAAATAACGGAGTTGTGACGGGCTTTTAAGCGAAATCAAGTTGATTAGCCGATCAAACACAGAGTTCCAAACAGAACGACAGGTCTTAGAAAGAAATACACCCATCTCTGTTTGTGGTTCACTATCATGATCAATCATTGCATGCGTCAACAATAAATTCAAAATTAAATATAATATTACAAATCACAACCAGGCTCCTAAAGGTGAACAAGATTTCAAGGTTTTTTACTTACGCGATGCAACCTAAAGTTTCACCTGGTCACAGTTGAGCTTTAAAGGCGAAGGGAGAGGAAGTTACGGTGATAAACTCTGAATCCTGCCACCTGAATCTTGCTGTAACAACCTTACAATCTGACAGTCGGTAGATATCACAAATATTGCGCAGCGGGAACCTCCATGGAATTTTTTAATCTTTTGCAGTGGGTACATGGTATTGGTTCAGAAACTAAGATTTCGATTGAAAAGTAAAACACTTATCTTGAGATCATTTTTTCGAGTTTAACTCCTTCTTAACAACTTTGAACATGTCATTTGAATCATCTTAAAACACCTTGCTTTAGGCCCCCTAAGCCATACTTTCAGACGTCATTGTCGACACGAATACGCAAAATGGTTTCGTTGGCTGTCGTTGATTGAAAGCATTGTTTTCTTTACAAGTGATAACAGAGCGACTGAATGCATGGAAATTCAAGTTCTTTTGGCGAAGAAACAGCTGCTATTTTGAAAAAGTAACTATTGTTGAAAAGTTTCGAATTCCTCCTCGAGGCAGCAATTTAGGAAATTTCAATAGGAACTTTGACATGTTTACTTAACCGATCAGCTTGCTTTTTTAGTGAAATTTTAAATCTCTCAAAGCACAGCTTGAACTCGACAAGTAGCTGCGACGAACGTGTTGAAGTTATTTGGTTCAGCCAGGCTCACGGTAGGAGCATTTAAATTTACGTTACAGTCGTTGTCCCTGCGACAAAAAAATTGTCCCCGCATGAATTTTCGCTAACACACACTCCTTTGAATTTTAATGTTGATCACAGCGTTTAAATTAGTAGAAGTGTTTTGGAAACAATAAACGAAGAAGTTTGCGGGGCGCAGAGATCTGTCCGCTGTTAGTTGCCGCTTATAAGTTGGATTTTGGCAATTCCATAAAGTCTGCTTCATTAATTAACATTTTATGACACGCATGGGATATATACCACAGAAAAAAGGTTGCATTTCATCTTACATTGAGGAACAGCTGGTTAAATTTACGGTTTCTTATGGATAAAATCCAAGCTATATATGGTAATTCTGAATGTCCCGAATGATTACCTTTCCTATTAGATTTGGCAACTTGCTCCATTCGCTGGAGCTCAGCATTGTGATTACCTTTTTCCTTTTAAGGACGCATACTAGAAGTCTTTAAAGGCCTGAAGGCTAGCCCTACTTTTATCGAAAAAACGGAAAAAGAGCAACGGATAAGAAAATCGAAAGTTTTCTTTGTAATAGCTTTTTTTTGTTTTTTGTAACTGACTGTTGACAACAGCACTAACATCCCATCGACTGACCTACTAGTTACCTCATGAAACATCTCCTTAATTCAATATATCGCAACACAACGTCATTTCACAAAGAGAGATTGCTCGATCAGGAAGATCCTTACATTAACTGTTGCACCATTACTTTTTTTTTTTTTTTTTTTTTTTTTTTCTACCGACCATTCCAATCGATCACCTCCCGTCACGATAATCACGGCAACGAATCAAGCAGAATCTTGGCGAATAGGTCAGCTCTGTTTTAGAAGACGGGTGAAGTGACACAAAGGGAACTTTGTTTTAGCGTTGATTCGTAACAACATCCTGTTTATGTCTAGCAACGAAAGCTCTGTTCAATAAGTAAAGTGGCTTAATGGCCAAACAGACATTGCGCTAAAAAAAGTAATTAAAAATACCTGCTGAGTAAACATCAAAGTCTGAAAGGTTACGTGAACAACAAATATGGTCAGACTCTTATCAAAACATACTGCTTGTGAAAACTCCAACACGGCATCCTCTCTCAGCCAAAAGACTGTCCACCGAACTGTTACAGAAGATGTAAGCAATCTTGTTGATCATAGCGCTGAAATGTCCATCCATAAATTCCAGGTGTTAGCAAACTGGCCTCTTGTCGCAGGAGGATTCTCAACCGAGTCAGAACTATGTCTCCATAAAATAACAATCTCGAAGAACTGGTGACAAATAGTTTATGTATGTCATCCCTGATGATGCCATAGATCGGCGAAAGCTTGGAAAACTGAATTATCGTAGCATACCTGTCCTCACTTGATTTACACGTCCTTCTTTTTTTTTTTTTAATTAAGATCCCATACGATATTCAACGCCGGAAACGGAAAAGGATGGAAAGAATTAAATACTCGTGTAGAGAGATGAGTTACTATCGTATCGCTATCAGAGACTTCAAATTATAAAGTTTACAGGTTTTCGTTTCTTATTTTTTTGCCTCGTTCGGTTAAAGAGTGTCACGCGCTTAGTGTTTGGAAAGAAACGAAGAACGTGTAAGCGTATATTTAACAGGGTAAATTATGACGCCATACGAAATGTTTACTCGCGTTTTCATGATTTTCTTTTACTAAAGAAAAGTTCTATCGGCATTTATCTTAAGCACGAAATCATACGCAAAAAAGAAGACTGAAGGAAAAGGAGAGAAAAAAATAGGAAAAAACACCTGCGACAACAGACAATTGACTATTCTAATAACCGAGATGGCCCTTGACCCCATTAGATGTACGACATAAGTTATTGAAGATTATTGGAGGATGGCCTGAAAGATGGTAAATGTTGCTCTTCCCGCAGGTTATAAGTTATTAAGCTTAAAAGTAAAAGCCACTATCTTAAGCGTGACTGCCGGTACACCTGAGATTTACTTTTCAACCACTACCGCGAAATTCGCGATCTGTAAGAGATGACG